TGTTCTTGTTTTTATTGTTTCAATACTTTTCTTTTTATAAATTGTTTATATTCTTAAAATGGTTCTAACAAGCATCTACATGAAAACTCTTTAGAAAACATGTATGAGGAGCGCTAAAAATGGGCAGTGGTCTTCAAAATCAAGGTCAGCATTTAGGCAGATGTGGACAGGGATAAGCAGATGCAAAGAACTGAACGACTAAATGCGCTCATCAATCATGGGGAGAGCAGAATAACTGAGGAATTGCGGGAATTAATCCTTCACCTGCATTTCATTTAATTCCCAAATCGTTGAAAGGAGAAGTCAGCTAATGCACTCTTATGAGTGAGAGGGAGCGGAAGAAAGCAGTGAGAGAGATGACTGTGAATTCTGGGAGACTGAGAAAATAAGCTGGACATTTCTTGAGTTGGCTCAAGGGATGTAGTGACAACAGCTATGTATCTGCAGGGTCAAGTGTGTATTTTTACACATTAAATTGTTTTCTTAGCTCAGTTGACGCCTGGAAACGGCGTTTGTGAATAACATGATGACTGGATGATGAATGAGGTGCCAGAATCAATTGGGTGTGTAATTACACTTCATCATTTGGATCTCTTGTGCTCCGATCCTGTTTCTCACAGTAGAAACACACACACACACACACACACACACAGTCTCAGATTAACTGCCTGGGCAGCAGCTTCCTGATGTGTCAATGGTGTTAAGAGGTCAAATGGAAAATATCTAAATCGGTGTCCATATCAACCGATATAAAAAGTTGCACTGGAATTCTTCCATTTCTGTAACAATAGCACAAAATCAAACGCTTTAAATAAAATCAGAGGAATGCAAATCGGATTGCAATCATCTGAGGCCGGGAGGTTTTAACATGATTAGATGAAGTTTTGTGGTGAAAGAGCATGTGGAACAGAAGACTGCTGAAACATCAGATGACCGGACCAATGAAATGTGCTGATGTGGAAGAGCTGAAGTGCCGAGCGCAGCACATGAGATGGCAAGAGGAAGATACAGAGCGGAATGACTTATTCAGGAAGGGGTGTGTGGGGGGTGAATCTCGAAATTAGCACAAATAGATTATCTGTCCTCCGGTTCCTGGCCCAAGCAGCCCGGAAAAAAAGAAAAAGAGAAAAACACATTGACTTCTCGGTGAACGACTGCCTGTCCGAGGAGCCAAAGAGGACTGCAATTAAACGATCAATCACCGCATCATCGATCCCCGAGGGAGACAACTGTATCCGGGCCTAACTAAAAATGCAACGGTTTTGCACAGATAACAGAAAAGCATTTGAAATGGAGTAGCAGCTCTATTTTCTTGTGTAAACAGATACATTTACACGTGATCATATCAGGAAAATAAATTTTTTTTGTGATATGTTTTTTACTTTAATACATTTTATAATATATGTTGATTGAAATGTTTAACTTTTAATTTATATATATATATATATATATATATATATATACACACAGAGAGAAAGAGTGATTAAAGATATTTTTTTCATATTTAATATATACATACTTCCTCTTTCAGTTAATAAAGAAATGTCAAAAAGTTAATAAGCCACTGAAAGACCTGCTTTGTACTAACGCAACTACTAAAACACAGTTAATGCTGATCTGTAAGATTTGCAAATTCAATTTCTGTCCTGACTGCACACAACGATGCATCAATCTAAAAAGACAGCATGATAGTTGTGATTCACAAATTAAAAGATAGTCTTTTAGACATGGCTGTTGAATGAGACATTTACACCCCTCTTTATCTTCACTGCAAGCTAACCAGGAACAGTAGGAGTTTTCGGTTCTCCTACAGAGACTATGGTTGAGAGAGAGGTTGAGAAGTATGTATTGCATACATTATACATCAGAATGTGTGAGGGCCAGCAGTGTGTCAGAGGAGACAGAGTCAGACTCAAGCTGTTCCTCTAGGAGCCTGCTTCATCCCTCCTTTAATTACACTCTATTGATCAAACACAGATGGAGGGGGGAATGAGGGATGAAGTAAAAGAAAGAAAGAAAAATAAAGACATGGAAGGACAGGGAGAAAGAAATGTTGGATGTAGTTTTCAGACTGCAAGGGAGAGAAATAGACTATTACAATTGCTGCAGTATCTAGCATATATATTTTTATATATATATATGTATATATATATATATATATATATATGAAGAGTTCATTTGCAAAAACCGATAACTCCATTTTATAACTCACGTTTTTTTATTGCACATTCCAAGTAATATCAATCAAACTACAGTTGGGTTGTTTTGATTAAGTAATAATAACTTAAACAAATACAGGTAATTTACAAAATTAAAGTTCATTGAAAGTGTTTTTTTTACATATTAACAGTTTGTTTTATAGCAAAAGCAGATAACTCCAACAGTCATTTTTTGGCAAAAGCAGATAACTCCATGTTTTAGAGTTTAAAAAAACACTTGTTTAAGTGACGTGACGTGACGTGACGTGACATGTGGCCAAGTAGGGTGACCCATACTTGGAATTAGTGCTCTGCATTTATCCCATCCAAAGTGCACACACACAGCAGTGAACACACACAC